TTTAATATATATATATATATATATATATATATATATATATATATATATCTCCAAAGTATAACTTAATTTCATTTCTATAATTTAAAATATAATAGCGGTTCCACGTGGAACTGCTATTATATATTCACTTTTAAGAGCGGTTCCAGGTGGAACCGCTATCATAGCTTACCACATATTTCATTATGATCGATTAAATTTTCAAATAATCGATTCGATAATTTTTTCAAATAATTAATTATAATCGATTATTTTTTTAAATAATTGATTAGAATTGATTAGTTTTTCAAATGATAGATTATAATTGATTAATTTCTCAAATATATATTAAAAAATTATAAATAAAAATATATATTAAATTAAAATTAAAAAAAAATATTTATCAATTATATATTATAAAAATTATAATTATATAATTAAAAAAATCATATTTATAATTATAACTTTAAAAAAAATTATACCTATAAAATTAATGTTAAATAAATTATATATATATATATATATATATATATATATATATATTACATAAATTATAATTACATATATGAACTCTAAATTAATTTTATATATAAAATTTACATAAATAAAAATAAAATTTATCAACTTAAAAATAAATTATATTTTAATATATATATATATATATATATATATATATATATATATATATATTCTCCAAAGTATAACTTAATTTCATTTCTATAATATAAAATATAATAGTGGTTCCACGTGGAGCCGCTTATTATATATTCACTTTTAAGATCGGTTCAAGTGGAATCGCTATCATAGCTCACCACATATTTCATTATGATTGATTAAATTTTCAAATAATCGATTATATTTTCAAATATATAATAGCGGTTCCAAGTTAACCGCTATCTAAAATATATTTTAGATAGCGGTTAACGTGGAACCGCTATTATATGCTCACTTTTAAGAGCAATTTTAGTTTCTAATAATACTAAATTTAAAGAATTAAATTTAGTATTTAATATTTTAATTTTAGTATTAAAAATCTAAATTATATTTTATTAAATTAAAATAATTACAATATATTTTTCTACTTTGAGAATTAAAAATATAATTAAACTAAAACTGAAAATATTAATATATATTTTTGAACTCTTTTTTATAATGTTTTTATCATTATTATATTTTTGGATTAATTATTTTTTTCCTAATTTTTTATAAAGTCAATTTTAATATTTAAAAGTATTTAACATTTTGAATTCTGAAACTTTTTCTCTATTAACAAATTTAAAAACATAATATACTAAAAAAGTATTATACATAATTATTTCATCCAAATTTTTAATAATATGATAAGTCATCAAATTCGTATATAAAACAAATTTAATAATGAATTAAAATAGAACAACATTTATAAGAGACTATTTATTTTTATTTATGATGGATCAAAAGTGGAAATACATTTAAATTTATAATTTTATTTATGAAACACATTTAAATTTATAATTAACGAAAATAATGAAAATCTTAATATAATATGATACTTTTAGTAATGTATTTTTTTATAAATTTAAACTTACTTTTTTTAGTTTAGTTTTTAAATTTTATGTATTATTATAATATAGTAAAAATGATAGAGTTTAAAAACAATGTAGAATGTGAGAAGTTTAAAAAGAAAAAAAAGTTAAAAAAGGATATATATATATATATATATATATATATATATATATATAAATGTAATTGGATTAAATTTATTATCCCCTCATATATTATTATATATTATTAGCGTAATTTTAGTTTAATTAAAAATTAGAATACAAATATACTATACTATACTAATATATCATTATATTATTTTCATTGTATATAAATTACAAAACTAATAATTTTTAAAAATTTTAATGATAATTTTTTTAACTTATGTATTAGAAAATATTTTTTAATACTTTAATAAATATAACCTTTTTTAAATATTTTCATTAATTTAAAGTATAACTTTTAATATTTTTTAGTATTTTTTTAAATGTGGATATCTTTAATATTTTGGACATATAAATATAATTTATACATGTTTTTAAACCTTTTTCTAATATTTGTTTTTAAAAATATAATATCATTCTTAATATTTTATAGATTTTATATTTATATATTTATAAAAGTAATTTGATTAAATTTATTATCCCCTCATATATTATTATACATTATTAGCGTAATTTTAGTTTAATTAAAAATTAGAATACAAATATACTATACTATACTAATATACCATTATATTATTTTCATTATATATAAATTACAAAATCAATAATTTGTATACTATACTATACTAATATATTATTTGTATACTATACTAATAGTATAATATACTATATTATAATATTATTTGTATACAAAACTAATATCTTTATATCTTTATATATAAATATATAAATATGGAAAGATATAAATATATGTAAAAATATAAAGATATAAATATATAAAGATATAAATATATGTAAAAATATAAAGATATAAATATATAAAGAGATAAATATATAAATATGTAAAGATATAAATATATATCTTTAATATTTTGTATATGTAAATATAATTTATATATATATTCATAAACCTTTTTCTAATATTATTTTTTAAAAATAAAATATTATTTTAAAATTTAATATTTAATTTTTTAATTTTTTCTTAATTATATAAATATATAAAGATATAAATAAGTATATAAATATATAAATATATTAATATATAAATATATAAATATATAAATATGTAAATATATAAATATATAAATATATAAATATATAAATATATAAATATATAAATATATAAATATATAAATATATATATATATATATATATAAATATATTAATATTATCCCCTCATATATTATTATACATTATTAGTGTAATTTTAGTTTAATTAAAAATTAGAATACAAATATATTATATTATATTAATATACCATTAAGTTATAATATTTATAATTTATTTTTATTGTGTATAAATTACAAAACTAATAATTTTTAAAAAATTTAATGATACTTTTTTTAATTTATATATTACAAAATATTTTTTAATACTTTAATAAATATAACTTTTTTAAAATACTTTCATCAATTTAAAGTATAATTTTTAATATTTTTTAGTATTTTTTTAAATGTGGATATCTTTAATATTTTGGACATATAAATATAATTTATATATGTTTTTAAACCTTTTTCTAATATTTGTTTTTAAAAATATAATATCATTTTTAATATTTTATAGATTTTATATTTATATATTTATAAAAGTAATTGGATTAAATTTATTATCCCCTCATATATTATTATACATTATTAGCATAATTTTAATTTAATTAAAAGTTAGAATACAAATATACTATACTAATATACCATTATATTATTTTCATTGTATATAAATTACAAAATTAATAATTTGTATACTATACTATACTAATATATAATTTGTATACTATACTAATAGTATAATATACTATATTATAATATTATTTGTATAAAAAACTAATATCTTTATATATAAATATATAAATATGGAAAGATATAAATATATGTAAAAATATAAATATATAAATATATAAATATATAAATATATCAATATTTAAATATATCAATGTATAAATATATCAATATTTAAATATATAAATATATTTTTATTTATACATTTTATACTTATATATTTATATGGATATACATTTATTTGTATATAAATATAATTTATTTGTAAGTTATTATTAAAAAATCCTAGTAGCTCGAGTGGTTGGAGTTTCAACCTCCAACTCTAAGGTACCGAATAAATATAGTAATAAGTTAAACATTTAAAAAATATAAATATAATTAAGAATTATTGGAAATAAATATAAATAAAAACTTAAATAAGTAAAAATATAATATAAAAAGAGGAGGTAGGGGAAATAAATAATAAATATAATTAAAAATGTAAATAAATAAAAATAATTAACTTTGTCATTGATTTAGCGACCGATTTAAATCGATCGCTATTTTTTTAACTTTATCACCGATTTAGCAACCAATTGGATATATTAATTTTGGTCGCTATTTTGCGAACGAAATGAAAATCGATCGCTAACACATTAACGACTTGGCTTTTTGCGACGACGCTTTTCGGTCGCTAACTAATTAGCGACCAAAAATCGGTCGCTAAAATGAATTTTTCTTGTAGTGAACCAAATTTTTATAAGTTAAAACACATAATTGTGTAATACTTTGAAAAATAAAATTACGTAGGATTGAATTAGCATGCAATTTAAATTTGTTTAAAAGTTTGTAAAATGTATATCAGCTAAAACTTATTAGTAGTTACAAGTTACGTGTGAATCGTTAATCTTATTTAATGAGTTTAAGTTCTAATAATTTGTAATCAATAAAAGAAATATGATATAAAAAAACTTATTAAAAATATGTTATATATAAAAAAAAATACTAAAAAAAGGGTAGAACTTAGAACTTACATTATCATTTGTACTTAAAAGTTTTATATATAAAATCCCATTCCTTATAATTTCCCTTCGCAAATGCCTTTTTTTTCTTATCATGGATTTTCTCCAATTTATTATATTACAGACTAATTTTACTTAAAATGGCCACAATTTTCGAATATGATGAAAATTAATTAAGTAGGAATTTCTCATTCCAACTAAGTGTGGTAAAGTAAAGAGTCTAATTATTTCGAAAACTCATTCTTGATGACTTAAAATGGTCCCAATTAATTAGTCTTCTATTCCTTATAAGATGAATAGAATAAAGAAAAAAAAAAAAAAGATTATCTTGAATGAGTTTCTAGCCACGACAACCATGCATGGTTGGTTCTACCACCCCACACGCGAAGAGCAACAAAGACTACGTAGTTCTTGTGCTTTCCCCATAAAGAAAACCTTTTCAAGTTTCACACAACCACTCATTCATCGCTACCTCAATATTATAAACATAAATCTAACAAACATGCCAACAGTAACAACAATTTCACCACACGCACGTGGTTCCTCACCAACCTCAAACGTCTTCTTTCTCAAACAACACAACCCCCACCGCACTCACAAGACCAACGTGCACTTCCCCCACAACTCCACCACACCCTATATAAGCATCAGCATCATACAATTCCCTTTTACTCTCCAACACCATAACACTCCACTCCAACTCATTGACCATCAGCATGGCCGAGTCACGACCTCGAAATGGTGGCAGTGGTGATGACAATGGTGCATCTGGAAGCAGACGCAGAGGCACTGTTTTGAGACGAGCCATGGCATCGCAAACACGAGATGAAGCAATGGTGGCATCTACACCTGCAACGCCATGTGGGGCTTGCAAGTTCTTGAGGAGGAAATGCATTGGGGGGTGCATCTTTGCACCCCACTTTGGCACTGACCAAGGTGCGGCCAAGTTTGCAGCTGTGCACAAGGTGTTTGGGGCTAGCAATGTGTCAAAGCTCTTGTCCAACATTCCGGCGAACCGCCGCAATGAAGCGGCGACGACCATTTCCTATGAGGCTCAGGCGAGGCTGTCTGATCCGGTCTATGGTTGTGTCTCCACCATCCTTGCTCTGCAACAACAGGTAGCTTTCTTTTTTAATAATGACAAAAAAAATCATTAGATTAGTTAAAATTAAAATTTTGTCAATCTCACGTTTTATTTAATGAGTCTCTAACGATTTTATAACTTAAAACAAATTTAACTAAAATTAAAAACAAATATACTGAAAAATAACACCAACTATAAATCATTCATGATTTTTTTTTCTATAATTTAAAATAAAGAGAATGTTTTCTTAATCCTATAACCCATTTTATATTAATATAATAATATTATATAATTTTTTTTATTAATAAGATATATTGATTGATTGTCAAAATATCACCCTCAATCAATTAGAATAAATATAAATTTTAACATAACTAGAGATTATAATGTATATAATTATGATAAAAAGCTAACAAACTTAATATAATATATATATATATATATATATATATATATATATATATATATATAATAAATAAGTATATCAAACTATTTTCCATCCTCCATGTTTTTCATTTTCTCTCAATTTATTATATATTTATAATTAGATGATAATGTATACTTTAAGAAATGCATGGGAACTAAATTTATACGTTGGCGAAAAATTTGAGAAAAAAAAATGGATTTAAACCTATTATTATTTATTCATTCTCTCAAGAAATATTCTTATTCATTCATTTTTTTAGGGAGATGATTATTTTTATTCATGAATGTGGTGTCACTGGACGGTTTCCATTTATCATCATGTATCTTTTGTATTCTATAACTCACCATGAAATTCGCTTCAGTTTAGTTTCTTGAATATCACGTAAAATTCATTGTGGCTTTCCTCAAATATTTATCACACTAAACGGGTTTGTTTCTTTTGTTTTCAACAATGTTCTTTTTTTTATTATAAAAAGTAAGTTGTGAAAAAACGTTTCTTTAATGCTTTTTTGAAGGATGGATCAAGATTGTGTTTTTCATGTGACAGTTGGATCGCAAATTTTATTATGAATTTTCGTAAATAGATCAAAGATACAAAATGTGTTGGTATTTTATAATTTATATGTCTTTAATTACTCTAAATGATATTGTATGACATTAATGTTTTCGATTTCTCTCCATGAAAAATCAAAACCAAAGAGAAAAAAATAATAATAAAGGAAACAAAAGCAATATCAAGAATTTAAAGTATATATTAAAAAAACATTTTTTTTTCAAATACAAAACTTCAAATTTATTTTATTTTAGTTTCCAGTTTTCTGTTATTGTATCTGTGTGTTTTTGTGTAAAAACTTTCGAAACCAACAATTAAAGTAAAAACGAAGGTGACAGACAGTTTACTAATCAAAAGTAAAAATAAAAACAAAAAATGTTTTCTAAATAAAATAAAAAATTTAAATGAACTTCTGTATAATAAGGGTATATTTTGGATCAACATCTTATAAGTATTTTTGGAAGAGACAAACAAAATAAAAAATTTAAATGAAATTCTTTATAAATTAAAATTAATTAATTTATATATATAAAAAAAATTCTTGTATAACTTCTCCATTTTTTTAAAATACAAAAAATAATTTAACTGGTGAAACCTATTTTATTTTATTTGTATTTCTATAAATGTTTACTAAAAAATCCGTCTAAACCTACCATATCCTTAAACTAGTAAAAATAGTTTAGAGACCCACTTAAGAATAAAGATTCTAAACACTATGATTAAAAAATTTAAGTAATCCTTAATTTTTCATCCATGAAATGGCTAATTTTTATCCAATTCAGGTGGCATCTTCTGAAGCAGAGCTAGCTATGTTGCAAACTCAGCTGATGAATAGTAGGTTTGCTTATGCAAGTGCACTTCAGACCACACAACTACAGCAACCAGCAGCACTACAACCAGCATATTCCAACAACTCATGTGCTTCCACCAACCTTATGAACATGAGAAGCTACAACAATAACCCTGCTGGCTTTGACCTTGCAATGGACACAGCACCCTCATCAAACACTTTGGAGCCTCTTCAACTCACAAGGCTGTCCACATATGAGGAAGAGGATGAAGAAGAAAGCAGGACTCGGCAAGCCTTCAAACACCATTGATTATAAGTTGCCCTTTTTGATTGCTTTGTTAGTAGTATTACTTTCTGTGCTTCAACTCTATCAATAATTAGATGTCTATATATAATTAATGGAATCATTACAATGCTATACTTAAAGTATAAATCGTATATTTCTTTCCTGTTTTGTTGTAATGCAAGGGCAATGGAATATCTTGTCTTTTGATATTCTTTTTTTTTCTTATTATATGAAGAAAAAGATTTAACTTCGTTTTCACATTTTTCTTCAACACTTAATCTCAATTTCTTAAAATATTTTTGAAATATTTTAGAACAATGATTAATAAAATTGAAATTCTTTTATCTGAAACGCGTCAAAGTGTGTTCTTTTATAAGATTGTAGTTATTTTTATACTATTATCAATAAAATATTATTTATTATATTTTATAACCAGTATGCTAATCTTATAACCTAGTTATGGTGTTTTTATTATTATTGATCATTCAAAATAAAATAAAAAATAGATAAAAAGTATTATTGTTAGCCTCTTTTTGGATCCGTGAATGTACTATTCATGCAGATGAAAATGTAGGTAAGGTGTGTTACACAAATAAAATCTAAAAGGGAGTAAATAAATGCACAAATTAAAATAGATGTCAAATTAAAAATTTATTTTAAGATGTCTAATATTTATTAATTCAATTTTAATTATCAAATTGAACAAAGATAAAGCAAAAACGATATAATCGGAGAGATAAAATATGAACAAGATAGAGAAAGATAGAGATAAAAATAAGGGGTGTAAGGGGAGTAATGAAGTGAAAAAGGGATAAGGGAAAGAGAAGAACACATAGTAATTTATACTGGTTCGGATGTAATCAACCCTACATCTAGTTCCCAGTCAACTCTTAACACAATAGTGACCCTAATTCACTATCTTTTAAATTTAGTTCACAAATTACAATCAACTCAGCAAAAAGTAAATTAATTCAAAAGACAATCACTTCCTTAGAAACCCACTAAGGATGAACATCTCCCTAGAATTCCACTAGGGATGAACACCTCCTTTGAACAAATCAAAGGATGAACACACCTCCTTAAAATCCCACTAAGGATGAACACCTCTCTAGAATCCCACTAGGGATGAACACCTCATCTGAACAAATCAAAAGATGAAAACACCTCCCTGAACAAATCAAAGGAATGAACAATTTTCACACACGAAACCCAAAAAAAACACAACAGGATGATAGTGACTACTTAAACCCTAAACAGGGAATTTAACAATCAACCACTTAAGCCCACAAAGGATGAAGGTAATAAAATAAGAACAGTCACACATGGGTAATGGAGACAACAAATTGTAGAAGCCTGTAGAATATCAACCTCCAAGAACAAGTGTGATTAACAATTAAAACACAGTAAGCAATGGAGAAGAGAGTTTTGGTAAAATATCTCTGTGGCAATGGAGAAGAGGGTTTTCTCAAAACATGTAAAATATCTCTGTTGTCTTGCTCATAATTATTTTCTCAAAACTGATTGAATGTAAATTGTATTTTCGAATTCTGTAATTGTGAGTTTTTTATTTTCCATCAAAACATAATTAAATAGAAAAATAACATCAGAAAATGGTCATTGGACATTAATATTTTCGTGGATAAAAATAAGGATATATTCAAAAACATTTATTCTTCAAAATGGATATTTTTCAAATTTGAACTGTCATAATCGATTATGTTACCAGTATAATCAATTATGATATAGAGAAAATCATTTTTCCATTTTTGATGCATCATAATTGATAATGACAGTGAAAAATGTCATGTTACGAAATTTTATCACACTTGTGCTTTGGAGGCTTATGCATAATGTTACTTCATCAACTTGTACATCCATATCCAGTATTATAAGACTCTATCTAGTCTTCAAGAATCATCTTGGGCTTGGTTGAATGTTGAATATAATCTTTATCAAAATCATATCTTGGCCTTGCTTGAGTCTTGAATGTTGTTGATGTTAGAAATTTAGGCTGAGATCAAGAGGGGGGTGAATTGATCTTTGAAAGTTTTTCGCAATTAACAGATTATCTATTTCAAAGATTAAGAAATCTGACCAATTCTTGAATCACACACAACAAGCAATAAAAAATAAATGCAGTCACAGAATTAAAGAAGAGAAAGATTTAGAAAGATATAACCAAGGTTTATACTGGTTCACCCAATCCCAGGGCTACGTCCAGTCTCCAGCCAAATTCCAGCTGGGTTCCACTAGATTGAATGTTTTACAGATTACAACCTTAATCCCACACTCAATCTACCACAAGAACCACAATTCCAGTTCTTGCACCTAAACCTTCACCAAGAACCAAATTCCAGTTCTTGACCAACCCTGCAGCCAAATTCCAGCTACAGAAACTAGTGCCCACAATTCTAGGCACCCACAATACAGTAAAAGAAAGTAAAGAAACAAGTAGAAGAAACTAAGAACGCTCAAACCAGTTTTATGCAGTTCTGCAGTATGTGTTTCTTCTAAAAAAGAATGCAATTTTGCCTCAAAAAAGAACTTTAATGAACTTCACAAAAACTAGCGTGATTCTCTATTGAAAGTAGCACTTATGATTGCTTGTTTGATTGCTAAAAGATGTTGTATAAAAAGTTCAAGCAAGTCTGTTTATATAGAAGATTTTCAAAACTGCTGGTTTAATTAATCTGTTAAAATAATCTTTTAATCTGTTAAAAGTCTTGTTTTAATCTGTTAAAACTTCTTTTAATCTATTAAAATGTTCTTGATTATTTTCCGATTTGTTTTAACTGATACGACAACGTTTATATCAATTAAAACTCTTTGTAAAAAATCTTCCAAACTGTTTTAATCGATTGTTTCATCTTTCAATCGATTAAAATACTGCAAAACATTCTTATAAATTTTTCCAAGTGATTTTAACTGATAAAAATCTGTTTTAATCGATTAAAATGTTTAGCAGAAATTCTCTTAAGTTGTTTTAATCGATTGAAACGTAGTTTAATCGATTAAAAGAATTCTGATCGATCAAAAACCCATTCTGATCGATCATATGCTGGTTCTGATCGATCATAAACCCATTCTGATCGGTCATCTGTTACTCCAAGTGGTTTTAATCGATTATTTCGAAGTTATATCGATTAAAATACTACCAGAACACTTCCCTGAATATTTTAAGTGATTTTAATCGGTTATTTCGAAACTATATCAGTTAAAACACTGACAGAAGGTTTTCAAAAATTCCTTTAATGAAAACAATCGATTATTTCGAAAACCTATCAGTTAAAAAACAGTTACAAAAGTGTTAAGAACATTTTAGTTGATAAAGCTCATAAGCTATTAGTTAAAATAGTTGATTAAAAACTTTTTAACAAAATACTTTGTTTTTAACCGTTTAAACTCTTTTTAGAGGCATTTGCAAAATCTTTTAAATGAAGAAACCCCATGCAGCAAAAAGATAAAAATGATTATACCTAAGCAAAAGATGCAGACTCACTAATCCCTCTACTCTTTTATCTAAGTGACCTTTGACTGCCACAAAGTAGTCTTTGACTTCATTTTTGTCTTCATCAAATCAACAAGATCTTTGCCAAAGTAATTCAATAAGATCTTCATCACTTTCAGTCTCCCCCTATTTGATGAAGACAAATACCTCTTTGACATTTCTTTGAATAACTCTACAAAAGAAGTCACTTGAATATATAGATTAGTGAGTAATCAAAATTTAATCATCTACCCATTTCTCCCCCTATATTGTTGCCCCCCTAAATAAGGAAAATCAATTATAAAGCAAAGCAATTATTTCTCCCCCTTTTGACTTCATCAAAAAATAGGGAACAGAGGAACAAACCTAAGTATGATATGTATCAAGTTTTAGATTTTGAAAATAGAAAAAAAAAATTTGGACAAAATACCTTACTCATGTAAAGACCAATCAAAGTTGATTCAAACTTATCTTCATTAACACGTTTGTAATGAATACAATTAACACATGTAAAGATAAGGGAACCACGCTTTAGTAGCATGTTACAAGAACAACCATTAACTAAAGCCTTTAAATTTTCTTTCCAGAGTAAAAATTGATTAAAAACAGAACAAAATCGATTAAAAAGTTCTTATTAATGGTTTTAATCGATTAAAATAATGTTTTAATCGATTAAAACAGTGATGAAATTTGAAAGTTTAAGACATAAGTTGATATAATCGATTGAATCGACATTTAATCGATTAAAACAGTAAGAGAAATGTTGTATAAGTGCTTTTAATCGATTTAAAGCTTGTTTGTATCGATTAAAACAACCAGTTTTGAAAACAAGTAATGTTTGATGTATTTATCATGCCTAATTCAGTGCAAATTTTGTAAAACCGATCATTTAGGAAAATGTTTTACAATATCAACTACATTGATTAAGTTTTAACCAATAGATCCATCAAAATCAGAATAGTATCTTATTTAGTTGATTTTAACTAAAATTATCAGGGATCTATGTTAAATTCTATCTAGGCTTTCTTGTTTCAATTCAAAAACTATATCATATTTAGGAAAGTTTAAAAAGATTGTGCCTGGTTTACAACCAGTTAATATTACAGACCAGAAATAGAAATTGGCAGAAAAAGAAATAAGAAAAAAAAAAGATAAGAATGGACCCTTTTTGTCCAAAAATTCAATCATCCCAGTTCCCTTGGTTGAGCTGCATATCTTCCAGTTGAAAGTGATCCTAGCAAAGATCTCATTGATTTGATGAAGTCAAAGATAAAGTCAAGGGTCAACTCTGCAGCTGTCAAACAAGTCACTCAGAACAAAGGAGCTGAAGACTTAGTGTGTCTTAACAGAAAGCTTAGGTAAAACCACTTTACCTTTTCCACTGCATAAAGCTTCTTCACTCAATTTGCAAAATGCCTCAAAAATAGTTTTAAACAAATAAAAAAACAAAAGCATTTTGGCAAAGAATTTTCTTAAACAAGTTATTAACTGATAAAGGTTTGAAAGAATCAATTTAAAACACTTAGAATGTTTTAAA